CAATCTTACCTATTTCTGCCGTCAAGCAGTAATGTCAGCATTACTGTGTTCCACATTACTGTGTTCCGGTTTTAAAGGGTAAGGGAAGGGTGTTGGTAAAATTACCTACAGGCGAAATTACTTATGTGGCAGTACCTCTCAGACTTTTTCGATTTAAAGCTCTGAACGGTACTGCAACTGTTACCGACAGGCGTGTAGCTTTCCGTCAGGCACCCGACTACGTCCTGTCACTTGATATTATATAAAAAAGGATTAACCTGTGTCCATAAGCAGGGTTCGGAATAGGTAGAGGTTTTTACATAAACTTTGAGGCACATAGACAGAAAATGGAGGCTGCCTTACGACAATATTTTTTAGGTCCTGGAACTTTTCGAGATTCGGGAAATCTTAAGAACATTAAAAATTGACGTGACTGGGGACAGCCAGGTACACTATATTTATTTTAACTTTGCGACGCACAGTGGGTCGGATCTGCGATATTGCGGGCATTGGATTTATTTTTCACGATATCTCTCTAAAAAAAAAACCAATAGAGAGATCTTATTGTCCTATCACTTTTGCCATAAATCTAATAGTTGAGTAGGAAAAATATAAATGTGTATTTTTGTATGGTACCATGCCTTTAGTGCCCCATCGTTACAAAGTATTAGTCGATCCAGTCTTGGGATTGCTACAGATATATTATTAGACCTATCTTCCATAGATTTGCACAATAAACGCGCGCCCATACCTTTCTTTGTATTCCTTTTACTCTTAATCTTACCTCTGTATTCCAGATTTCTCTTCACATTAACAAAATTGTGTTCGAGTATCACCATTCGAGGGAAAATCTTAACACCGCGATTCAGAAATAACGCCAAATGGGTAGAAATAACGCCATCTAGCGGATTCTTAGAGAACTAAAAGTGAACAATCTGGCTTAAGGCCGTCTATTACATAAAGTAGGTTTGTTACAGTTGTTAAATTAGTTTTAATCATATTAGAACATTATTAGTATGTTATGTTGTAAGTATACGTATATGTGTGGGCCTCTGATTATATATACAATATATTTGACATACATATTATATAGTAGGTGTCTTGTAGAAAGGGCGAAAGCGACATTTAGTATTTTTTTCAGGGGAGCAGGTTTAGGTTTTAACGACTGTTTTAAAGATTACGTCTTGTTTAATAATTTAGTAATATTTATTAGCTGTAGAGTTCCTTATGAAAGAGATCGTACACGGAAGTACTGCCACCTTACCTATTTCTGGCATCAAGCAGTACTGTGAGCATTAAATGAAATTACAAGGATATGGGATTTGTCAACGTGTGTCTTAGGATGACGGGCGCAGTGGGAGTGCCCCCCAGACCTTTGCGATTCAAAGCTCTGAGAGGCACTGCAACTGTTATGGACAGGTGTATCGCCTTCCACCGTACAACTTGTTCGTTCCATCTCTTGGTATATAAAAAAAATGTGGTTTTAATTAAGTTTAAGATTTACATGCAAATTAAGTGGCTATTCTATTTATGACAATAACACAAAAATGTCAAAAAGAAAAAAAACGAATAAGTTCAAGGTGATCAGCGCAATAAATATTCGTTAATAATTGTGAATATTAGTCAAGTCTCAAATTTTATCGAGAATAATTAATAATAATATACTTAGTATAAAGAATAGTATCACTGACGCATATCAGTCATGTAGCCGTCCTCGAGACTACTTGTGCAAACAAGTTGTGCTCCTGAAAGTAAGCTAGAGAGACATAAGTCGTTAAGTCCGATGTGCCCGTGGTTCCACCAGCATCCTTACCCTTCAAAACCGAAACACAGTAATGCTCACATTACTGCTTGGCGTCAGAAATAGGTACGGTAGCAGTACTTCCCTGGACGAATTCTTTTATAAGGAGCGCTACTGCTACTAAAAATCTTGTTGCGGCATTACAATTTAATACATTTAATGTAATTTAAGTTAATTTAATTCAACTGAGAGAGCAATCAACATATAATGGCGGGTTTGCGGGAAAGAGTTCGTCCAGGGAAGTAGTACCACGTTCCGGTTTTGAAGGGTAAGGGTGCTGGTGAAATTACACGCAAATGGGCCTTATCAACTTTGTCTAGAGCAGTGGTAGCGCTCCTTAAATCGTTGCAATGTAAAGCCCTGAGTGGCAACTGTTTTTAATTTCATAAGTAAGCAAATTACACTAGAGTGCAATTTGCATCAGCATTTAATGAATGTGACGACTTCTACTACTTCGTCACATCGACTACTCATTCGTAAGGCAGATTTCCCATGAGAAGAACGTGAATGAAACTCTAGATGAAACTCTACTCTTGCTCTTTGTAAATAAACATTTGTACGTATTTATTATTTAAAAAGTAAGTAAGTATAATAATAAATAAATAATAAATAACGCACACACTCAACATAGCCCCGCACTAGGGAAACCCTGTGTCGCGGGTGCCATGGACACACACATAGACAACCATAAATTACACCCAAACTCACGAGAGACCTCTGGGACCTCTGGGACCTGGGACCTCTGCGTGGCAGTCCGGCATGATAACCGTTCGGCCACGGAGGCAGTAGTAATTAGTGAAATTGTGGCACATGAGATTTTCCAACTTATGTGTCAGGGCGACGGGAGCAGTGGTAATACCGTTTGAGCGGCACGCGGCACTGCAACTGTTATGGATAGACGTGTCGCTTACCACCAGGCGCACGACTTGAATGCCCCGTCACTTGATATCATAAATTAAGTGTTTGTGTTAGATTGGCTCGAACTGTAAAAACCATTTTGTTGGAAGGAATTCTTGTAAAGTACATTTTAAGATTTAAGATTTTTTTGAAGACTTTGGAAGAGCTATCATTACATGTCGGAAACACAGAACAAAATATAATATAACATTACCGGAATTTCAGTTGAGGTATTATTCACTCTATGTATGTGTTACTTCATTGAAATATAAGTAAATATATTTAGTCTATTCCGGTCTTTGTTAAGGATAAATCAGTGTTAGTTCAAATTAGCGTAAAATTAAATCATAATGTCGTCGTTTGATGTAGGATGATGTTATGCAATGTGTGCATATCACTAAAGTGAACATACAACCAGACAAACAACAATCCGTGGTAATCACTCTAATTAAGACAACTTGTTATTGCTTACTGACGTACAAGATCATGGAGAAGCTACAAGTTTTCTTATTTTGAAAAAGATTCTGAGATCGAGGAATGTAATTTAAATTAAAAATATAAGGCGGCCATTTTTTTAAACGTTTTAAGAAAACGATGAAAATTATAACACTCTAGTACCACTAGTTCATAGTTTCCCAAAGTGGTCCCTCCCAGTGGGAGCTGAAGAGTAAGGGGGCGATATGGGGCCTCAAAAGCAAATGGGGGCGTTGATTCTGTCAGGGGGTGCTGCATTTGAAAACAAAACTTAATTATCTGCATAAACTACACTACATATTGGTGGTTTGGTGGCTTTGAAATTTTTTTATCTTGCCTAAGTAAGCGGTGTGCTAAAAAGTTTGGGAACCTATGCACTACTTACTCACATAACGTAAAGCGTGGAGATATAATATTCCCGTGGTATAGATTTCTTTTAATTTGCGCCTTGTGGGTTGTTCTTGATGACATTAAATTTTTAACTTTATTTTAATTTTCGTTTTTGTTCTCGTGTGTTTTTTGTGTGTGTATTTTCTTTAAATTATTAGTGTGTACTTAACCATTACGGGCTATGTCAGAATAGCAGCGAAGACTGTGGAGTATGCAGCCCATTGTAGCTTATAATTTGACCTATAAAGAGCTGAAATGTTGGTTCGTTTGAAAAAAAATGAATGGATTTAGACCCAAAAAAATAATTTTATTTCCAATTTGATTTTGATTTTAACAGGTCTTTAAAATTAGAAAAACAATGTTTAAAAAATTATATTTATGTGTAAATAATTATTAATTTTCAATGTGCAACAATCGCCGAAAAGGTGACAATGGGACCTGTAAAAGATCCAAAACGTTGGTTGTTTAAAAATAGTAACTTTCCAATTATTCCAATATTATTTTTAACAAGCATTTAAAATTAGAAAACAATCTCAGCTTCTAAACAATTAAAGATTGGACCATTGGGTGGAAACTACATACCCATCTGTCAATTGTATCTATAGATTAACAATGAGACAATGAAACTACAATTTCCCGGTGTTAATTCCCCTTTATAATTGTACACAATTAATTTGTTTGCCGACACGATAATCCCATTGGAAATTTGGAATATGCGGTGATAATTATCACACGACATGATTTATTTGGCGTTCAATATTAGCTGTTCAATGAAGCTTGTAAAATTGAGAAACTTGCTGTATTAATATATTACCAGCAAACACTGATTTACATTTAGTTTAAAAATTTTGTTTTTATGGCAATAAACTAAGACAGCGTTTGAGGATAATTTAATTTTGCACTATAACAATAAGGATGTGGTTTTTATTACATTATGTTGACGCATTAATATTTTAAGATTATATGTATAAATAAATTAAAAAATGCAAAATTTAAATAAAGTGTTTAAAACAAGTAGTCATGTGTATTCTTATTGGTTGACTTTGGCATTACGTGTTCCGAATCGTGCAAAAAGATATCGATGCGTTTGTGCCTTGTCCTTAAACTTGCCAGCTAGTGCGCATGCGTGTAGCGTAGCGCGCCAGTATTGTGTTCCGATTTCGAAATCCCTCGAGTTTGGTGTTTTTTTTAGAAATACAATTTCGTGCACAGAGATTTAAACATAGAACATTATTTTATTTTAAAATTACGATGCCATTTTGCTTTCGGATTACTATGTAAAAAAAGGTTTTTGAAAAAATAAATCATTTAAGAATCACCTCTATTGGAAAGCATAGTTTTTAAAACAAATATTTAGTGGTCTTGTTTTAATTTGAAAACAAAAGTACAAATTCCTAAAGATTTTTTAAATTTGTTTATTTTGTTAATATCGGTTGACAACAATTATTCTTTTAATGTTTGATTTATACAGAAAAAAATACAGGAAAGCATTATGTGCCATATAAATAAAGTGTTTTTTTGAGATTTATGTTTTTTAACGCGGATTTTCTTTATTTGATTACCGGATAATACAAAAAAGGTAAGTTTATTTTTTATTTTATATTATTTAACAGTGAAAGTATACGAGTACTTTCATGTAACATCATTATTGTTTTTATAACGGTAAACTATAAAATTATAAGAAGTGATAAAATAATTGACAAAAAAGGTTACATATAATTACATACGGGCTGTGTCACTATAAATTACTTCAAATGAATTAATCCTTATACCTAATTGAGTCTTTCGATCGGCATCATGAAAATAAAAGATATTTTCTCACATTTGGTATTTTGATTGTAACGAGACAAGCAAGTTTACAAAATCTTTGAAAGCAGTGTAAGTTTTAAGAATAACAAAATGTCGCCATGAAGCAAAATATCCTAACTACAATATTTAAATTATTTAACCTCCGCGTCGCATAGCCGTGGCACCCTTTATATAATAAAATGCAATACAATTTTTTTTAATTACTCTTTATATTTGCGAATATACGGATGGGATTTTTCTCAATAGACTCTTTTTCCAAAGGTATAATAAATTTATAGATAGATTGTGTAAGGCTCCTGAGTTTACTTTTATTTTCACTTGAAAAAGAAAAGATAATAAGAGATAAAAAAGCTATGGTGACAAGTCTATGAAAACAGTACTCGTAATTTTTTTTTGTCCTTGGCTGTTTGTGGTTAGTGATTAAGCCACAAGGTTTTTAACAATTGCCTTTAAAACGGAAAATTTGTAAAACAAAAAGAAAATTAATGTAAGTGTATATGATTAAATAAAAAGAGTCACCGTGACCATATAACCTGTAAAGGGCCCGAAACGTTGGTTTGTTTAAAAAAAACAAATATACGCGATTTAGATCCGAAAAAAAACTATTTTATTTCCTATGATTAAATAAAATTTAATTTATTTCGTCTTTACTTTTCTGTAAATTATTGTTATTAAAAAAATTGCAAAGGGCTTAAATCAAATACATGTATGGGTTATTTTATATGATTGCATCTTTCTGTTACACCCTGTATAGAAAGGTTAGTGATCTCAGGTTCATTGTACAAAACAAACGGATATTCGCCTTAGAGGATGGAAAAAAAAGATGTTCGCCCAAAAGTGCGTCTTCTGTTTCTTTTTTTTTGTTGACGGCCTCGGTGGTTTGTAGTATGGGCGCTCGGTGAGGAGGTTCTGAGTTCGACTCCCATGAGGACGATTGCGTCCGCTCTGGATGTTCTGAGTAGTCGGAGTTTTTTCTACAACTAGTTTCAAAGTTTTAAGAATGAAAATTATGAGGTTTAAGAAATATTTGTTTCGCATAAGAATTATAACAACAATTCACTTGCATGAGAAATTTCACATCCATATTTGCCAAAATTTTATAGCGTACACATCACAAACACTTAGCTTATTTTGTAATGTAACTTACAAATTCCAAAGACATAAATTACTATCAACAACAAATAAAATTAAATTCACTATGACTACAATTTTGTATACTATCACATAAGAAGGTAGTGTGATGTTCTATTTTGATTTTGAAAATTCTACGTAGGGTAGAAATTTATTCTCTTTCCAAACTTAACAGACATAGGACTGAGTGCATCTGGAAGCGACATTGATGATTTTTTGTTTTAAGATATGTCAGCGCTATTGAAAGTGTTATTTCAAGCTTCATTTATTACTAGCTACTGCCCGCGATTTCGTTCAAATTTTTAATATTGAATGAAAGTTATATTATTTTATGACATATATATATATATATAATTTATCGAGTTCTTAGGTTTTCGCGATTGTTACACATAGGAAATGAAACTATTTTTCCGGATTTAAATCGCGTATATTTGTTTTTTCAAACAAACCGACGTTTCGGGCCCTTTACAGGTCCCATGGTCACG